GCACTGACAGGAGTGATCCCTGAACCCCAAGCCAGGGCTAAGCCCTGATCACTACCGGGTATAGCCCAAAAATTAAAAATGAAATCAATATAATTTAGGCAATTGCCCATGTATTAAAAAAGTCTTTGTTAGGTGAACATCGAGGAATTTAAAAGTGAGGAGCGATTTATAATGTTAATACAAATTAATGTTGATTGTACCAAGTTGCAGCAGGTGTCAATATTCCAATTTCTGGTGAGTTCAGAGTCGACAGCTTTCATATATTTTTTCATAATTATTTTGGAAAGAATTACCCAGCGGTGATGACTAGTGAGATATAAGATACATAACAATAGTGTTGGGGGTGTTAGTTTTGGCTTTGTTGGAGTTTTTTGTGGGGACGGGAATACCCAGTGGATATCACGCCTAGTGGTGTTCAGGGTTTACTCCTGGCTCTGCACTCGGGATCACTCCCGGCATGACTCTGGTGGACATATGGCTTACTGAGGGTTGAATATGGTTTAACTGAAGGTAAGGTAGAGTCCTAACCACTGGTCTCTCTCTCTGGTTCTAAGGGTCACTCACAGTTTATTTTGCTGTAATGAATTTAGCAGTTAATTTATCAGGCAATTCAATTGCCACATTATTTATCAGTAGTGCTTCTGCTGATAAAACTTAGCAAAAGAATAATAACTTGCTCTTGATAAATATTTTATGAGGAAAAATTGACTCATTTTGTGTAGAGTCAATAATATCATAAAATTGCCTTCTTAACTATGTAGGTTGACAGAGAGGAGTCACATAGCTTCTAAGAGACAAATATTGGTAGTCCTTAGCAACCGTCTATAAGTCTCCTGTTGCCAAAACACTTCAGACGCTCTGCCTCTTCCCACAGCTTTCATCACATTATTACTAAACCCCAGATGAAACCAGTCCAAACAGGCCAACGACAGAGGTAGGGAAGTCTGGCTGACTTCAGCAGTCCCTGTCACACATGCCTAATGTGCTCTTCTACAGGGACTGTTGTGAGTGGGGACACAAAGTGAGGAAGATGACACCCCACCCTCAGGACTGAAAATGCTCCCCCATCACCAGAGGCCTGCTCCTGTCACTGGCCCACTGGGGCTGCCTGCAGCCTATAGCATCATGATGGAGAAGCTGGGCTCATTTCCCACTCGGGAAATGGCGTGGTCCAAGTAGCTCTCAGGGTGAATGCTGAAATCCAACTACCCAGATTCAAATCCTTGTTATTCCCATGTAATTGTAAGAGCTTGGATTGGTTAGCTAATTCCTATATATCACTATATCTTATTTTATAAAATAAAAATTGTTGCTCTGGCTCTTTTCTAGTATAACTATTAGGAGAAATATTTTAAATCTTTGCTTTTATGACTAATTAAAATAGTGGTGGCAAATTATTTATCAAAATGTTTGACACAATTCCTGCAAACTATTACTATTATTTGTGCAATGGCTATGACTATAGTGGGAATCCGCTCTCAGAAATCTTTAGTTTTTGTTCCCAATGAATGAATTTCATGCAAGAAAAGAAGTGTTTCTAAAGAATCATGCTTGTTGCTTAGCTATTTTTTTCACCAAAAGTGTTGTTTATGAAGCTTAAAAAACTAAAACTGATGAAGTCATAAATTTTTATACACAAACAGAGACACATGACATAAAGTTGGAGAACAACATGCTATTTTAATTCAACAAATGTACCTAAACTCATACATCAAAAAGGAGTTTTTATCTTCAAAGGAGTCACGTCAGAAGCCTTTTGCTTATTCAGTAATGCTGCCAAATATTTTCAAAACTCTTCCAAGCCACTTTGGAGACTGTTTCAATTTTTTTAGGTGTCTTTATTGGCAAATAAACAAGTATATTTGGTTATTTTTTCATTATCAAAGCATAGTTTAACAAATTCATAAATAAGATAGGGGACAATGTCACCTTTTTCAAAAATTAAAAAATAAAGGACTTTTGCCTAATTTGTAAAATGTCATAATTTCAGACAGGGATTCTCTAAAACATTTCAGAATAATAGAAGAATGAACATGTTGCTTTTTGTTTTATTAGCAGGTTATCTCTTTAAACAAACACAAAGCATTGTGTGCCAAATACAATTTTAGGAGCATTGCACTGCACTGCACTGTCCTCCTGTTGTTCATCGATTTGCTCAAGTGGGCCCAGTAATGTCTCCATCGTGAGAATTCTTGTTACTGTGTTTGGCATATCCAATACATCACAGGTAGCTTGCCAGGCTTTGCCATGCAGGGGAGATACTCTCGGTAGCTTGCCAGGCTCTCCGAGACGGGCGGAGGAATTGAACTTGGGTCGGCTGCATTTGCATATATTGACTCATTTAATGCTCATATCTTATGAGATACATTCTCATAGTAGCTCCACTATGCAGACACCATTGAGGCCCAAGAAAAGCGAAGCATTGGGGCTGGAGTGATAGCACAGCAGGTAGTTTGCCTTGCATGTGGCAGACCTGAGTTCCATTCCCAGCGTCCCATATGGTCCCCTGAGCATCGCCAGGAGTAATTTCTGAGTGAATAGACAGGAGCAACCCATGTGCATCGTCGAGTGTGACTCAAAATGCCAATCAATCAATCAATAAATAAAAAAAAGAAAAGTGAAGCATTTTTTTAAATTTTTATTAGTGAAATACCATGAGGTACAGTTGTAGACTTACAGATTTTTGTGCTTGGGTTTCAGTTATACAATGATCGAGTACCCATCCCTCCACCAGTGCCCATTCTCCACCACCACTAATCCCAGTATCCCTCCCACCCCCCATCCCCCCGATCCCACCCTGCCTCTGTGGCAGGGTATTCCCTTTTTTCTTCTCTCTACTTTTGGGTGCTGTGGTTTGCAAAAGGCATTGAGTGGCAATCATGTTCAGTCTATAGTCTACTTTCAGCAAGAAGCATTTTTTTAATTTTTTTTTTAATTAGTGACAGAGGTAGGGCGTTTGCCTTAAAAGCGGCCAACATGGCCGACCCGAGTTCGGTTCCTCTGCCCCACTCAGAAAGCCTGGCAAGCTACTGAGAGTATCTCGCCCGCATGGCAGAGCCTGGCAAGCTCCCCGTGACGAATTCGATATGCCAAACACAGTAACAACAAAGTCTCCAATGGAGACGTTACTGGGCCCGCGCGAGCAAATCGAAGATCAACGGGAGGACCGTGACCATGATCGAGTGAAACATCATGAGGTACAGTTGTAGAGTTATAAATTTTCAAAAAGTGAAGCATTTTGACCATAGCATGGTGATAAAATTATATTCAGGCTATTTACACCCCAAATACTAAAATTCAAAGGTACCAGCTATGTCTTTTTTTTTCCCTTTGAGGTAATGCAACTGAAGCTTGATAAATGATACTATATCACTCCGTGAAGTTTTAAAATTCAGTTAAACTGTCTTTTAAATGTTAGCAACTTTTATCTGGACATTCATTTCTTAGTCACTCTTATATCAAATTATACAAGGATGTCCTACTCTCTAGCAGTCTAGTATTCTAATGCTGTTAGGTATCCTACATAAGCAGAATTTATACCCAGAAATTTCTTCAGCCTTGCGTGAGAAACAGTCTCTCTCCTTGCAGTGTTTCCTCATGCCTGTTTCAAAATTACCTCAAAACTTCACTATTTTCATTGCATCACTCAGGAGCTATCAAGATAGTCTACTTAAAGAGAAGAGTAAGAAAGGAAAGATATTTAAATATTCTTTTTTTAAATTGTATTTTATTTTTATAAAGTTGTTCACAATAAGTTATTATACTCAGTATTCAAACGCCAATTCAACCACCATTATACCTTCCTACCGCCATTATTTTGAATTTTCCCAAGTCTGCTCCAAATAGCAGACCCTAAATAATTTACTTTATATTGCTTGTTATGTATAGTTCACTAAAAATGATCAAAAAAGATTTCCTTAGGAGAAAGTGTGTGAAGATTGTTGTTTCTCAGCCTGGAGTCATTAAGCCCTTGTATAAGAGAATATTAACATGTTATTAAAGGTTGAGCCTTGTGTGCTAATATTTTTTAGTCAATATTGGTTTCCTTCTATTTTTACATCCTGTCCAATGTGGTGTGCTACTCCTGGTACATCAGTGGTACAAGGTATGAAATGTTACTCTAGGAATTCTAAAATTTTAAGTAATGTCATATAGCTGGAGTTAAATTTTTAGATAGTGACTGTGAGGTCTGGAAACATCTCTGCAGCTTGTTGATCTCTTCTGAGATTTATTTGTGAGTCTCTGGGTCATGGTCATTAATGAGCTTATATGGCACCAGAAACAGTTTGTGGGTATAACTGCTAGGCTTCCAGAAGAACAGAGGGATGAGGGGAGGAAGCCCATCCCCCAACTCCATGAGAGTCTGGAGATTTAGGTCATAAAACCCACATACCTGAGTTTTTTAACAGATTCATTCATGGATGAGGCTCATTTGAGCCTGTGTAGGTTGGCTGTGATCATGGCAGTGATTGGGTTGTGAGACATTAAAATATTCTTAAATTCTCTCTGTCTTCTCTCCTCTCTCTCTCTCTCTCTGTCTCTCTGTTTCTCTCTCTGTCTCTCTCTCTTTGTGTGTGTGTGCATGTGTGCGTGTGTGTGTGTGTGTGCATGTGTGCGTGTGTGTGTGTGTGTGTGCTCTGTTTGCTCAGGGCATATCCTGTCTCTTTGCTCAGTGATCATTCCTCGCAGACTCAGGGGACATTCTGGAGTTCTGTTTATTGAACCAGGTCAGCCGTGTGCAAGGCAAGCACCTTGTGCTATCTCTCTGGCCTTTAAATTCTTTTTTAAAGCACATTGTATAGTTTTTCCACCAGTAAAATGCATTGAATGTCTCATTTTGCTCTTATTTCTTTGCCTTGAAATATTTGTTTCCAAAAAGTTTTCAGCAATTCTAAGAGCATACCACTGGCTAGTAATTCAATAATGACAACTCTCAAAAAAAAAAGTGTAATGAAGCAAATTTCAAAACTAAATTACTCTTGAATCTTTTTAAATTTCAGGATAAAAGAAAAATACAGGAAGAAATCTCACAGAAACGTCTGAAAATAGAGGAAGAAAAACTAAATCACCAGCATTTGAAGGTAATTTGTAACTACTTTCATTTCAGTGATCTCATATTCAAATACTCTAATGACCCTCAACACAAGAATAAAGATGCTTTAGGAAGTATAGTTTTCCTAACGGGCTGGAGCGATAGCACAGCGGGTAGGGCTTGCACACGGATTCAATTCCTCTGCCCCTCTCAGAGAGCGTGGCAAGCTACCGAGTATCCCACCCGCATGGCAGAGCCTGTCAAGCTCCCCGTGGCATATTCGATATGCCAAAAACAGTAACAAGAAGTCTCACAATGGAGACATTACTGGTGCCCGCTTGAGCAAATCGATGAACAATGGGAAGACAGTGCTACAGGACAGTTCTCCTAACCCTCTAATAACCATTTGGGGAGGTAAAGAAGCTAGTAGCATTTGCATCTGAGATTAATACCTTCTGGCAAATAAGGAAAATGGAAAACATGGCTTTATTTTATCCTTGGTTACTGAAATTCCTCGTTTTCTCAGGTAACCTTGAGATTTCAGTCTGGATAAATTGGCCCTGAACACAATCTTACTTAACCTCCCTAGGGAGCCCAACAAGCTAGAAGTCCCTTTTGAAATCAGTGAAAGGCCAGCCTTTCCCCAGGGGGTGAAGAGCAGACACTGTTGCTCCTCTCAAGGATGCCTGCATTTAAAAGCTTCATGCGATAAATCCAAGTCCTTGAGTACGGTTTGGGTTTTGTTTCATTTTGTTTCGACAGAACGTGAGATCATAACCAGAAATAAATCTCCATTTTTAAAATCAGGCTTTACATCTCTCCTGGGTGTGGTCATTTTGTAATTAAAGCTCATTGAGTTTCAACAGTTTATTACATTAGCTTAGTCACAGGATGCAACCAAATGACAAACAGGAGCTCCTTGTGAACCGGCCCAAGCAGGAAACGACTTATCTGGCAGGGCTGTGATCAGTGGATTTCAGGAGTCCCTCATTGAAACAATGCCTCACATTCCTGGGCTCACAACCTCAAGAAAAACTTGTTGCATTCAGCTAAATGCATCTTTCTGATGGATCAAGTAACCACCTCTGAAAGGAAATAGTAGAAGGTGCAAACTAGTGTTCATTCTTTGGATTTTGTTCCTTGCTGCTATGCAAATGGACCTGTCTGACAATTGATGGATAATCTCAAAGCCTAGGTAAACTAAACATTATGCCGTAACAAGAAGTCTCACAAGGAGATGTTACTGGGCCCGCTGGAGCAAATCGATGAACAACGGGAGGACAGTGATACAGTGACACAGTGCCGGTGTTATGGATAGAGAAACAGCAGTAGAGCAAATAGGAGGGGAAATAAAGGTTTCAATATCGTCTAAGTTCATTCTCGGTTGCTCTTAGGAAAACCTCCTGAAAGGCTCATTTCTCAGTAGCACCTCATTTTTTTCTGAACAAAAGCACTACAAAACACTTGATCGTCCCTTTAGATTTGCTTCCTGAAATCCAGGAGAGCTCTCCTCAGCCAGTCCAAGTCAATGCATCATGCTTTGAACTGCTATCTAGTTGTGCAGGCTGTATACTGCACAGAGATGCCCAAGGGAGACGTCCTAACACCAACTCAGGCTGGGCCATGGCACCCTGTGCAGAGGAACAGAACAGCTTCTGTCTGGAGATAAGACACTAGCGTGTCATTTCACCCACCCAAGCTATGCACTGACCCAAAGGAGTGGAGTAAGGAAAGTTGCTTTTACCTAAGTCTCACATCAATGCCCTAGATCCCAGCAGAGGCACTGGGGAGCTTCCTGCATATAGCTTCCTAGAGGAAGTTCAAGATTAAGGAAATGATCAAGGCAAGCAAATGATAAGAAGCCTTTTTTATTTTTTAAACTATACAACCTGAGCTATATAGCACAAAGGGTAGGGCATTTGCCTTGCATGCAGCTGACCCAGTTCGATTCCTCTGTCCCTCTGGGAGAGCCCGGCAAGCTACCAAGAGTATCCCGCCCGCATGGCAGAGCCTGGCAAACTTCCCATGGCGTATTCGATATGCCAAAAACAGTAACAACAAGTCTCACAATTTGTTGTGCAATGTTACTGGTGCCCACTCGAGCAAATCGATGAACAATGGGAAGACAGTGTACATGGAGCCTTTTTTTTTTCTTTTTGGGTCACATCCAGCAATGCATAGGGCTTACTCCTGGCTCTGCACGCAGGAATTACCCCTGGGCAATTGTGCTCAGGGGACCATATGGGATGGTGGGAATCGAACCCGGGTCGACCTTGTGCAAGGCAAATGCCCCAACTGCTGTACTATCACTCTAGCCCCTGTGCAGAGCCTTTTGATGAGCAAATATTTCAGAGCACCTATTATGTGTAACATGCAAATAGACAATAAATATAAGGTGTAAAGTTTTAATGTTGCCCTTAAAATAGTAATTGATACAGTGCCCCGTGAGTCCTGAGATCAGCATGTAGAAGTGCCGTCATCACAGCAATAACGAAGAAAGGAAGTGGTAGTAATAACTGATCCACATGTCCATACTGACTCTGACACTGTGATGAAAACTGTTTGCAATACATCAACAGCAAGAGGGACGCTGAATTAAAGCAACTGCTCCCAGAAAATTCTTCCAAGTTTTGCGAAAATTGTTGGTCATGCCAAACTGTACCCAGTTACCATTCCAAAACAGGGTTCAAACGTAAAGTAGTATTTTTAAAACCAGCTCCCCCGCATATGTGCCAAGTTAAAAAAAAAAGTCTATAGGCCAATATAACAGTGCTTGTTCTATTTTCTTGATTGATTTCATCCCCTGCTGGTGATTATCCTTGTTGCTTTACAATTACAAAGTACTGCATGACCCTTCAACTACCCACTTTGGACAACACAAATTGCAAACAGTTCAAAGATGCCCTTCTGTATCAGTAGTGCTCACATTTCAAAATAGTTGGATTACCTTCCTTTGATAATTTTTAGCTCCACAACCTGACAAGCTCATAGATGAGGTATACCCAAAGGTGTGTGAAAGGTCAGAGAAATTGTACAGGAGGAAAATGCTTGCCTAGCATGCACCCAGTTCAAATCCCCAGAACCATTCTGAGCATGGCCAGAGGTCACTCCTTGAGCACAGAGTCAGGAATAGACCCTGCGTACCAAGCGTGGCTCCACCATTACCAAAATAGAATCCATTGTTAATGTTCTAACTATAAACATCTCTGAGTTTTGTAATCTATTAATTTTTTGCTTTGAAACATAATATCGAAAGCTAAAAAAAGTCTTCGCTCTGGGAAGCGAAGAGATGCCATTGGGCTACACTAGCACGCGACAGGGACAAATGGAGACGTTACTGGCGCCCGCTCGAGCAAATCGACGACTAACGGGAAGTTAAGTGATTAAGTGAAAAAAAGTCACAGAACCTACTCAATTTATAGAACTCTGAAAAATCTATTTAATTCATGATATGAAAAACTAATCCTTTCCTAAACTAACCCTTTTTGCTGTAATTGTGTAGGATATAAAATTTTTTAGGAAAACTTTCCCTAAAAATACTGTCAAAATGCCCATTACCTGCATGTTACTCACATTTTTATTTAGTTAATCTGACTTTTTATTCTGAATTTCATAGTTGTAAAATATATTTGATTATAGTTATCAGTTACCTGGTCTAAAGTCTAAATCTAAACTGTGACCCAAAAAAGCCTAAATAACTCCTCTGGTGATTTTTTGTGATTATATGTTAGCATTTGGATTGCACTTAATTTTTTTTTATTTTATTGATTGAGGTTCTGTGACTTACAATACTGTTAATAATGGTTTCTCATGAACATCATCGATTTGCTGCACATAATTTGAACACCACACCCATCACCAGTGTACCCACATCCTTCCCCCAAGGACCCTAATGCTCCTCTAAAATCATATGTTTTATATCTAGTTGCAAAGAGTTTCTGGCAGAGGATGGCAATTCATGAATTATAATAAAGTTTTATAAAACTGAACTTAATATCATTTTTTCTACCTAGACTAGAGATCAAGAATATAACCCTAAATTAATCTGATCATGCCACAAGAATCACTCATTCTATGCTCTTTGCAACTCAGCATCATAAGACTCTCTCCATCTGACTGTTTCTTAGAATGATATAACCTAATTGACTGAACTATCCTTGTTGGTGGTTTGTAAGAACTATAATTTACTTTGATAGTTGTCATCTGTCTTCTTTACTATGATCACCTATCATATTTCATCAAATGAAAATAAATTAAAATCAAATAAAAGTAAATTAAAATTCTTAAAATGCTGATGCGTTAAGATTTTTCGACATCTTTGACCTCAGAAAAGAAATCTTGACCTCTGTCGATAATATTTACTGTGTCTATGGGAAAACAGTTTTTACAAACAGCTCCACAGCTATAATTAAAGGGTAAGATAACACAGCAGAAAAGAATCTCTGGCTACAAACCGGAATAACACAAACTGCCTTTACAGGCAAGTTGTCCACAAGCAATTGCTTGAGACTGAAAAGACCATCACAGAAATGATGGCATGGGTAAGGCCTTGACTTAATCCAGTGGTTTTCAAACTGTGTTCCAGGCATTCAGAGATTTTCAGGCCCCCCACAGCTTCAACTAAAGCAGCCCATAAGTTTCCTATTATACAATTACAGTTCCAAATAATATTAATTTGTCACCCATATAACCTTTCTTCCTGGTTTGAGAGTCACTATCTAACATAAACATCTTGGGCAATGATCTTACACATTGTCTCTTATTTATTTTTTTAATTCAGAGATATTTATGTTCCAGTGGTTTTCATTCTAGCACCCTTTTGGAAGAGACAAGAGGGTTTCTTACTTGCTCTCATCTTTTTTATACTGTCAGAAAAGTCCTAGAAAAAATAAACTTCCCATTCTTCTCTCTCCACATTGTATCCACTAACAAATTGTTGAAGTGGGGGTTATTTTTAATTCTTTTGTCCTTTTATATTTATTCAAAAGTAGCCTCACATCAATGTACTCCTGCCTCAGGGTGCTCTGAATCTGTCTCCATTGGCCTTCCCTGCTGTTTCGTCTTCATTCTTTTGTAGTTTAGCATGTCACTGGGTAGCATCCTTTCCACTTGAAGAATTCCTGAGAGCATTTCTTGTCAGACACGTTTAGTGATGATGCGATCCCTCACATCTCCACACCCATTTAGATGGCCAATGTCCAGTGAATAATTATCAAACTAGTCTTTTACAAAGGCAGATTGTCACAGTGTCTTTTCCTCAGGGAAAAACCGAGAAACTTGAATTCTGGATGTTCGGATATCCTCTCTTTTCAAAAGTTTAAGTCATACAATTTTCTACAGAACTTTTCTGAAAGACCTTCATTAACGCCTGATTTCTCTACCTAAAAGAAGCCCAAGAGGATTTTTTTCAGGAGTCAACTCAAAAAGTACCACCGAGCACTGCCAAGTGACCTGGTTGGTCCCTTACACTACATGATGAGAGCAGCACTTCCCTCAGACTCTCACATTGAACCATCCTCCCTATTGGCTGAGAATCATCACCCAGATCACAGCGTAGGAGGATCCCCACCCAAAAAAAAATCAAAAACAGTGCACAGTGCTTGTTTTGTTGCAGTCATTCTGAAAGCAGTGCCCTGCCCTGACCAGCTAGAGGATAAACAAAGCTCCTGCCCTAATAATTATTAGGTGGGCTGGGTATTTATATTATTTCAGCACTTACTTCATATTAGTTAGTAACATACTTTTTTAAAAATTTCATGTGTTATTTGGCGTGACTTTATCAGGTTACTTTTGGGGTCTGGAAACTCTCAAAAAAATCATGAAAATGAGTAAAGGGCTGGAGTGATAACACAGCCAGTAGAGCATTCGCCTTGCACGCAGCCGACCCTATTTTGATTCCAAGTATCCTATATGAACCCCTGAGCACCGCCAGGAGTAATTCCTGAGTGGGAGCCAGGAGTAACCCCTGTGCAACACCAGATGTGACCCAAAAAGTAAAAAAAAAAAAAAAGAATAGTAATTGCTACTTCACCTGGTGCCATAATTGTCACACTCTGAAAAAAAAAAAAAGCATGCTCTACTTTCAGATATCAGAGGAGACCTGAAACATCTCACAGTGTTTCACCTGGATAGGATGCCAGCTAAAACTCCTACCAAACTTGTAGGTGTCTTCCACTGTGTAATTATCAGGTGGCTAAGAAACTCCCGGTGGCTCTCTCACCACATATGTTTGGTGGTCTCGAGCCACTTCCCCACCCCGGCGTGCAGCTGCCGCCAACAGACACAAGAAGGAGGGAACAGGGCCACTAAGATGATTGACAATCAGTTGCCATTTATTCCATTCTCCCCACGTGCCTGTTCCAGTCTCACTAAGCGCCCCATTCTTGTCTCATACTGCCCCTCATTCCCATCTCCTCCTGTCTCCCTCACTCATCTCTCCATGCTCCCACTCACTGCCCTGATCTCTCTCTAGTTTCTCACCAACTCCCTGCATTGAAGATAGCCACCACACCCAGTCCAGTAGCACAATCAACATATGAAAGTCCTTCTTCCGCTCAAGGGCAAAATACCACTTAGGTGTTCCTCCCCTTAGTCCAATATCTTAATTAACATCTTAATTAACATCTTAATTCCACTTCTTAATATTAGTTATGTTGTATGGACACAGTAAGAGATACATTAAGCTTGTAGGGTGACTCTTTTGGGGACATCTCGCTATAGATCTCAGATCTACAGTGCTCAGGTCAGATTAGTTTTTCCTAACACTAGCAGTGTCTTATTCCAGCTGTTACTTTTTGGATCATGACCATGCTCTTAACTTATAGTTAAGTAGTATGATACTTTGGCCTGGCCCATTTCAATACCAGAATAGCTCAGAGCTTGCCCTGGGTCCATTCAGTCTCTTGTTTGGACCCTGCTTTTGAAATGCTAGGAAGTAAAGGCAACTGAGACTTAAGTCAAGAGAACAGATGCCCAGGAGTGATTTTCATTCAGAATCAATTGAAACTCCCAAGTTACAAAAGCATAGCATTGACTGTCTTCTTGTGTCTATACAAAAAGGACATTACTCTGAATTAACTATGACTTAAGGAGAAGAGAAAAGCATTATTTACAGGTTAACAGAGTCTGATTTAGGAGATAAAGGTGATTGACTTATTGGGGAAGCAAAGCACAAAGAAAGAGGCTACAGGGGCTAGAGCGATAGCACAGCTGGTAGGGTAGCATGCAGCCCACCCAGGTTCGATTCCCAGCATCCTGTGGGGTCCCCCAAGCACCACCGGGAGTAATTCCTGAGTGCATGAACCAGGAGTAATACCTGTGTATCACAGGGCATGACCCAAAAAGCAAAAACAATAAAATAAAATAAAAAGAGTTACAGGTAAACACAGAGGAATGGGAGCACTGTGATGGGATTAACCAAAAAAAGACCTAAGCTCCCTGTGGCAAGGCAGAAATGACAAACCAATGCTATCTTACATCCACTTGCTTTAAATTTTCTGAAGTTCAGGCATAAGAATATAATTTTTTCCATGCAAACTCAAGATTTTGTTTTCCCTAAGATGAAGCAACAAATGAATTTTGTTGTTGTTGCATTATAGTCAACAAAAATTCAACTCACAAATATTTAGACAGATCAGTGAACTTTTTGCATGGTACTATTGGAACATAAAGGGAGCTGAACCAAAAAAAAAGCTAATATCTAGGATCGGGGACAGTCTCAGAAATAAAAAACAGACAAGATTTGGGGTTGACAAAATAGTACATATGAACTGCATAGCCTAAGGCAATTTTCAATCAGTATGTGATAAAATTGTATCATTTTTTCCCACCATTCAAATTAATCCCACATAAGACATTTTGAATTTGTAACTATATGCTTTCCATTTTGATGAAAATCAAAATGGCTTCAGTAGTGATTCCATTTGTCAAGAATATAATACATATGCCTCATGCTCAGAGAACTCTCTACAAGTCACCCATGCAACATAGTAAACATGGGTGACTTGGAGAGAGTTCTCTGAGCATGAGAATGGGATTAGGGGTTACAAGTGGGGAGATAAAAGGTTAGGTGAGAAGTAGGACAAAGATCTTCATAAAAAAAAAAAAGCAAGGAGGAAAGATCTTCACTAGATCTTGAGGGATAAAGAAGACCTTAATTAAATTTAGAAAAACTGACTTTTTCAAGGCTCACCAAGGGAACAGTGGAAAATAACAGATTCATTCATGCAAGGCAGTGAGAAAAACAGTTTTTCTCCAATATGTTGACTGTTGAAATTCCTAGTATTTTAAAGAAGACAGAGTTTGCTGGTTGTTAGCTGATTTGAGAACCTGTCTTTGTTTCCTGCTACCAGAAAAAGGCCTTGAGGGAGAAATGGCTTCTAGATGGAATCACGAGTGGAAAAGAACAAGAAGAGATGAAGAAGCAAAATCAACAAGATCAGCATCAGATTCGAGTCCTAGAACAAAGTATCCTCAGGTATGGCCCTCAGAGATATTCCTCATCTATTTTCACTTAGTCTCTGCCCATGTGGCATGTAGAAGAGCCATTCTAGGCTCATAGTACAGTGGGGAAGATGCTTGCCTTGCATGCTGCCAACCCAGTTTCTATCATCAGCACCTTGCATGCTTTCCCCAAGCCCTGCCAGTAGTTATCCCTGCATACAGAGCACAGCCAAGTATAAATCAAAACTTTTACTTTCAAGTGAAGAGAAAAGGAGTCGTTTTCTAATTTTTTAGGCATAGAATCACATCCCCCACTTAGATTTGTAATAGAATTTGTACCATGAGTATCACATACACATAGCAACACAAGATTTTTAGATGACAAGAGGAAACTACATCCAGAGTTATTTAGGGGTTACTCCTGACTCAGTGCTCCAGATTCATTCCCATTGGTGCTTATGGGACTATGAGGTACCAGAGCTCTCACTTGCAAAGCAGAGTGGTAACTTATCCAGGGATCTCTGCACATATTTCTTTAGCTATGAAACAGTAATGAAATCATCTATTTTTTGAGATGTAGAGCAAGTAAAGGTCTAGTTGTTAAGTTCCTCGTAGCTTCCTGACAATGCACATGATCAAACAGCCCAACCCCCCACTGTCACCTTCAGACTCTGAAGGTATGTTCACACTGTCCTGCCATCACACCTTTCCCAGACCCTGCCCAGGTAAGAGATTTTAGGAGGTTCTTCACTAACAGTGACCCACTTCTACTGCTTGAATTGTTGGGTCACAGGTGTTGATTTTACTTACTATGCCTTTCTCCACTCAACATGCATAACTAGGGAGGCCCAGGTAAACCCAGTACAATGAGGCCTAAGCCGAACCACATCCTTAAGCCCTGCATTAAATCACTTGCCTCTTTGGATAAGAATCACCAGGAGGGCTGCAGGGTCTCCTGAGTACTGCTTAACAGGCCACTCCCACCTCCCCCAAAGACAGCATTAAATAAAGAGATATGAGAAATTTGAGAATCATTTCTGGCCTATGCCTGAATTAAAAAGATGGAATTTATTATGATAAGCTAATGACAATAAGTTAAAGCTTATGCTTCTTTGAAACACACATGTTAAAACCTAACTATTGGTAGTTCTTTGTTTTACTTTGTTTTAGATTGGTGGAGGGGAGGAACCACATTGTAGATGTTCAGGGGTTACTCCTGGCTCTGCACTTAGGGATCACTCCTGGTGGGTTCAGAGGACCACATGGGATGCTGGGAACTGAACCCAGTTAGCTACATGCAAAGCAAATACCCTACCCACTGTACTCTTGTTCTGGCCCCAGTCATTACTGGTAGCTTTTATTTTTAGTGAGAATTGCAGAAAATCTTAGAAGATGAAAATATCCAGTGGCAGCACCAAGAAGCTTGTCCAGGCATGTACTTTGCATGTGTTAGAGTACGGAGTTGACCACCCCTCAAGGACAGAGAACAGAGCTGATAATGCAAATCACATAGCAAGGTTTATTGTTTCAGCCAACTGGGGTCCAAGTATCTGCCCAGTGCAGCAGGTTTCAACAAGGACCCCAAGCACTAGGTTCAGCAAGTTCTTATACTTTCATTTTGGCAAGTAAGCATTACTCAGCAATTTTCTATTACCTACAGAGTACTCATATATTTTTGTTGTTTTTGCTTTGGCATGCAACATCCAGCCCACCTCCCTGACAGTTACATTTAGAGGCCTAATCTCATTCTGGGGATGTAATCTTTGACAAAAGCATCTGGTTTTGTTTCTGCTTTTCTTGTTCCTGGAAGATGCCTAAGTCACTCAGAGCCTGTCATGGCAGTTCTCTGGCTAAGTGGGTCCTAACACCTGCACCCATGTTTGATCCCAATACCAGTGTAGCCCTGGGCGCCCCTGGCACCTAAGGGCCGAGCAGTCTCCATTGCTCAGGCACTCACATGCAACTACTGCATCAGTTGGCCAGGGGGCCAAGAATTGCAGGGAGTAAACTACAAGTCCCAAGTACCACTTGGCAGGGATCCTTCCCCGCTTCCCCCAAATCAATTTAAAACTATCTACATGGTAACACTAGGCCTAATGTTGATCATGGAAAATGTTTACTTTTCCACTCATACTTATTCAGGTATTTTGAGTTAAAATACCTTAAATGTTAAATTTTATCATTGAAATGGAAAGGTTTGGCCACAGTTGGCAGTGCTCAGGTGTGACCTGTGGGAGTGTTTGAGGAATCAATATGCAACAGTTTTGTGGATTCTAACCTTGCCACATCTCCATGTACAGGCCCTAACCCTATACTATTTCACTGGCTTCCATAATTGAAACTTTGACCTTTATAAATCTATCAGTGTTCTCTCAAAGCTATGAACTGCTCCTGAGTGGTAGCTAATATTCAAAAAATCAATAAAGTATTCAAAAATAACTCAATGCATCAACTCTACAATTAGTATTTTTTAGCATGTCCCTTAGCAAGAATTCCCTACCAACATATGGATTAGCTATTACTTTGTTTATTCCTCAACACAAAACCCCTATCTCTGAAGAAGGCTTGAATTTAATCCCTATAAATTCTTTACTCAGCACAAACACTTCCTTACTTGCCTGGGAGTCCCCTCTGTAGAATCTTGGCACATACTAAACACCTATACTTTCTTAGCACTTGATGAGAATTGAAGTGGCTACATGGACTCAAACTCCATTAGCAAGTTTGGGCAGCAGTCTGAGTAATCCCAGAGAATTTACTAGGACTCTGCTGATTGCTTTTAGACCTTGCCTGAATGCTCTAAAAAGTACATTAAGTTTCCAGTAGCATGGATAGTGACTTGCCTACTTAGAGCTCCTGGCTCACAAGGGAGTGAGACAGACAAGACAAAGGCAGCAACAGAGGCAGAGATAGAGGAGGAGAGAGGGAAGAAGGAAGAAAGGAGGGAAGGATGGAGGCAGGGAGAGAAAACATATTTACTGAGTCTTACTATATGCCAGGCACATAACATGTATCATCCACTTTAATTTTCATGACCCCGGTGAGATGGAGAGTGTTATCTTTACTTTTTGCAGAGATTAAAGAAATGACACAATTGTAAAGTAGCAGATCAGTCTAACTCATTTGACTAGTTGCACTGCCTATAAGTGATGGCATACAACTTCTGCAGGCTTAAAGGGATTTTCTTTGAAGCATTTTCTGTCCCTTGATCCTCCCTTTCCAAACAGATCCTACCACGCTCCAGGCCTTTTCCTCTATACTTCTCTGATCCCTGTCTTGAATGACCAACTACCTGTGTCTGTATCATCTCATTTCTGGCATCTCACTGCAAATGTAGATCTTCAAGATGTCATTAACCCGTCTGTAACCCTTTATTAACACCTAGTGATTTTTTCTGCTATCTTGTACATATTATAGGATATTAAAATATCTATTTCTAGTTTTAAAACTGTTTTATAGATGAAAATGATACTTAGGCAGGTCAAATCCTACTAGTTTCGAAAGTGATATTACTTCATACCTGACAGAGTATTATATAATTAGATATATGATAGGTTGATATGATGATAGCTTCAACCTACAGTCATTTTTACTGGGCCAAATGTATACACCCTAAAAATTTCCTTACTATGTGTCAATAAGAAGTAAGTCCTATTTGAGGGGGGATACTGGGACCCATGGGGATGGATGACGGGCACTGGTGGAGGGATGGGCACTTGATCATTGTATAACTGAAACCCAAGCACAAAATTTGTAAGCCTATAACTGTACCTCATGGTTTTTCACTAATAAAAAAAGAAAAAAAAAGAAGTAAGTCCTATTTGAGTTTACTTATCAATAAGTGCCTTTGCAAAGGAAATATATGTGATGCTTTTAGGTAAACAGAGGAGAGAAAATATCTCTTCCTGTGTTGAAATTCTTTCAGTGGCATTTAATTTAAAATAAACCTTAGGGGATGGAGCAATAGCACAACGGGTAGGGCATTTGCCTTGCACGTGGCCGACCTGGATTTGATCCCTGGCATCCCACATGGTCCCCTGAGCACTGCCAGCAGTAATTCCTGAGTGAAAAGCCAAGAGTAACCCCTGAGCATTTCTGGGTGTGACCCAAGAGAGAAAAAAAATAAAAATAAATAAAATAAACCTTATGGACCAGACATGTAGCTCAAAGGTAGATTACATTCTTTGCATGTATGAAGCCCTGGGTTCGATTCCCAGCACTTCTAGGAAGGGGTAAATACGTACATATGAATGTGTGTGTATATATATATAGATAGATGGATAGATACAATTTGCTCCCCCATGAAAAAAATAGCCCTTAAAAAATAGCCCTTATAGCAAAATGGCATACTGGATGATTTTCATGCCCAAATAATGTAAATAATAATAACAATAATGGCTCTTTTTTAGTGGACATGTGCAAATCGTCTAAGCACTTGCATTTACACTATCATTTAATACAACAATCCTAGAAAACAAGCATTAAAAACTTCATTGCCCAGATGAGAAAGTAGGCCCAGAGAGGAAAAGACATTAAATTAAGGTCACAGAGGCAATAAAGGATAGACTTGGGTCTCAAGACATTCAGGTTCAGTGCTCTCCAGTTGTAAAATTAAAAGTGAGTAAAAGGGGCTGGAGCAATAGAATAGCAAACAGGACATTTGCCTTGCATGTGGTTGATCAGGATTTGATCTTCCACATCCTGTATGGTTCCCCAAACCCACCAGGAGTGATCCCTGTGTACAGAGCCAGGAGTAATCGCTGAGCACCACCAGGTGTGACCCCAAAACAAACAACAACAACAAAAAATAAAAACAAGAAATTGAGTAAAAGGAGTAAATGTTCTAGAAATGGTGACGCACCTTTTACCTAAAATACAAACTGCTTGGCTTAAGGAAGAATCCTAAAAAATATATTTATTTGTGAAAAAGCATCACTGTGACCCATAAGGTAGGTTGATCTTGTTAAAAATACGCAGGACACAGAATGTTCTAAAGCAATACACAGAGATCACCAAAAACTATCTCTACCTTGA